AATAGAATAAGGAATAGGAATAGAATAGAATAGAATAGAATAGAATAGAATAGAATAGAATACGGAATAGAACAGAATAGAATATGGAATAGAACAGAATATGGAATAGAATAGAATATAGAATAGAATAGCATAGCATAGCATAGCATAGAATAGAATAGAATAGAATAGAATAGAATAGAATAGAATAGAATAGAATAGAATAGAATAGAATATGGAATAGAATATGGAATAGAATAAAACAGAATATGGAATAGAATATGGAATGGAATGGAATGGAATGGAATGGAATAGAATAGAATAGAATAGAATAGAATAGAATAGAATAGAATAGAATAGAATAGAATAGAATATATAGAATAGAATAGAATAGATAGAATAGAATAGAATGGAATGGAATAGAATAGAATAGAATAGAATAGAATAGAATAGAATATATAGAATAGAATAGAATAGAATAGAATAGAATAGAATAGAATAGAATAGAATAGAATAGAATAGAATAGAATTCTTCATTGGCCAAGTGTGAGTGGACGGACACACAAGGAATTTGTCTCCGGGGCAGAAGCTTTCAGTGTGCACACAAGCAACAAGTGATAAATCATGATCATAATCATGAAATTCAATCATCGTAAATCACAAGATACTCAGTGACAGTCATCGGATACTAAATAAGCAATCAACATAAATCATAATAGGGCACTAAATGAAAGGGCACAATAAGTCACAAGAAGCTAAGAAAATAGGTAACAGGAAAGATGAGAAGGATAATAGTAATACAACCCTACTAGGTCGTTTGACATGATGGTAGCGGCTTGCGCTAAACTCCTGAGAGTAAGCTTTGAGTGTATTTTCTGCCCAGTCCGAATTTAAACATCCACATGGTTTGTTTCGAAACTGATCTCAGAGAGTTTCAGTGGAGATATCCTGGAAACAAATTATAGGTTTGGGTTGCTCTGAAAGGCGGTGGGGCGAAAGTGTTTCTCCGCAGCCAGCCCCAAGGGTTTGTGTTCTTATCTCTTCCCCACTGGCCTTGTGCTGTGAAAGACACACCAAAGCTGCTCTGTGCGAGAACTGCAGCCGTGCAGGTGAAAGAGGTTAAGGGTCTCCCATCTTCTCTGTTGAGAGTGGGAGAAAGCTGGCCACAGGACCTCCCAAGTGGTCCTCCTCCTCCTCGTCATGGACTTGCAAGGACGTCGACCTGGGCCTTCACTGGGGCAACTTCTTGGTTGCTGCTTCTCAAGCATCATTCGGAAAAGGAATGGGGTGTGAATGTCTCCCCAAAGTCGTTTTCCTCCTCCTCCTCCTCTTTCTTCTCCTGCTCCTCCCTTTCCACCATTCCTTCCTCTCCTCCTCCTCCTCCTCTTCACCATACCTTCCCCTTTCCCTCCTCTTCCTCTCTTTCCATCACTCCTTTATCTTCTCCTCCTCCTCCCCACCATTCCTTCCCCTTCTCCTTCTCCTCCTCCTCCCTTTTCCCCATTCCTTCTTCTCCTTCTTCTCCTCCTTCTTTTCCACCATTCCTTCCTCTTCTCCTTCTCCTCCTCCTCCTCCCTTTTCCCCATTCCTTCTTCTCCTTCTTCTCCTCCTTCTTTTCCACCATTCCTTCCTCTTCTCCTTCTCCTTCTCCTTCTCCTCCTCCCTTTTCCCCATTCCTTCTTCTCCTTCTTCTCCTCCTTCTTTTCCACCATTCCTTCCTCTTCTCCTTCTCCTCCTCCTCTCCCTTTTCCCTATTCCTCCTTCTTCTCCTCCTTCCTTTTCACCATTTCTTCCTCTTCTCCTTCTCCTCCCTTTCCACCATTCCTTCCTTTTCTCCTCCTTCTTCTCTTTTCACTGTTCCTTCCTCTCCTCCTCCTCCTCCTCCTCCTCCTCCTCATCATCATCATCATCATCATCCTGGCCCAGGTGTCTCATTCTGAAGCCCCTCCTTGCAAGCAAGTCCATGGTGACGTTTGGTAGCCCTAGAAGACACCCAACAATCCACGTCATTGATTTCATGTCACTTTGGGCTGGCGTCTCCCAACCGACTTAACCTGGTTACTGAAACAGATCAGTCCTCTAAAACCATAAATAGGTTGAGTTTGCCTAACATGACCCTAAGCCTGCCGGGGCACAAACTTAAACCAAAGTTAAACCTTGCCAGGCTGAGCAGGTTTGTGTGAAAAGAGCCCTAAGTTGCTTTGGTACACCTATTGGGACAAAACAGGATGTGGAGGCCAGAGTCTTACTCCCCAGCATCCAGGTTTTAAACAATAAAATAATCAGTTGTGCAACCAGAAAAGTTAAAGAGTTCTTTTGAAGCTACACATATTTGTTTACAAAAAGAACACCTGCAAAAAAAAGTGCAACTATAAAGTTGCAATAAAGACAATAAAATAATAAAGGTGCAGCAATCAAGGAGATCTCCAGATGGCACGTTCCACATTTTTATCGGTTTATCAAAATATAAAACACAAAGAGAAATAGAAAACTGAGGGAGAAAGAAAAGAACATACAGGGTAGGAAAAAAGAAATAAAAAAGGAACCGGATTCAAACTCTTCTTAGCACAGTAGAAGATAATAATAACATTACAATCTCCACCTTTTACTTATACACAATAGTTTAAACTAGCCATTTGTTTAGCAATAAACCTGTTAATCAGTAAAACCCCAAATCAAAGATTCTTTTTTTTTTCATTGCAAGCACAAAATCCGGAAACAATTTCCAAATAGAAACAAAATTAAATATATTCTCTCCTTTGGATGAAGGAATCAGTTTAACCATCTTTGCCTTTCCTTGCTGTGGGAAACAGGATATGCTTCGGTTTACTCATTAATCTTTATAAACTGCCATAATTTATATTTTTAAAAATCCCCTATATCCCTGGAGGTTTTTAAGAAGAGACTACATAGTCACTTATCTGAAATAGTATAGGGTCTCCTGCTTGAGCAGGGGGCTGGACTAGAAGACCTCCAAGGTCCCTTCCAGCTTCTATTCTATTCTATTCTATTCTATTTCTTATTTCTTATTTCTATTCTATTCTATTCTATTCTATTCTATTCCTATTCCTATTCCATCCCATCCCATATATTCTATTCTATTCTATTCTATTCTATTTCTTATTTCTTATTTCTATTCTATTCTATTCCTATTCCTATTCCATCCCATCCCATCTATTCTATTCTATTCTACTCTACTCTACTCTACTCTACTCTACTCTACTCTACTCTACTCTACTCTACTCTACTCTACTCTACTCTTTTCTATTCCTATTCCTATTCCTATTCTATCCCATCCCATCCCATCCCATATATTCTATTCTATTCTGTTCTGTTCTATTCTATTCTATTCTATTCTAATATTAGTATTAGTATTCTATTATTATTATTCTGTTCTGTTCTATTATTATTATTCTATTCTATTATTATTCTATTCTATTCTTATTAACATTCTGTTCTATTCTATTCTGTTTTTTTAACCCTAAAGGGAGAAAACACTTTTTCTAAGTTCTAAAACAGTTGTTAGGCCTCCAGAACCTCAAGGAATAGGTCCATCCACCTAAGGAGAACCCTTTTGAGCACAGCCCCCCTCCCCCCCCAAAACACACACACACCACGCGGGCTGAAGCTGACTTTCTAGTTTAGGCATTATATTTGTACTGTGGAGGATGATCCTGAAGCAGCAATCTTAGAATAGCTGTGCAAAAGATAAGCGCTCAGGGATGATCTTTAGAACCGGTGACTCATAACTGACTCACTTGCAGCTTCCATCCCGCCAACCCACTTTGCTTCCTCTCTTCTGCAAAGTGGGAATAGCCGTCCCCATCACACCATGATCACTGGAGTTGTCCAAGTCAGAGCAAACTTTTCTCTGTGTCCGTGGGACAGAGGCCCCCCCCCCTTGGCCAAAGGGACGAGCGTTTCGTGAGAGATCTGGCCACCTGCTTGGAATGCCTCCCCCCCCTTGCGTGCTCACCACTGAGAAAGCAGAAGGGTACTTTCCCCTGCCCATTGTGCCAGAGAATGATTGCCCCCAACGGTGCCAGATCCATTCACCAGCAAGTCTGCCCTTTTCTAAGTGTCACAAAAGGCCCCATCCCTGCTTCCCAGGCAGGATCAGTAGCCATGGATACTGGACACAGAAGCGGCCCCACTGAGTCCCTTTGACCGGTGGAATGTCAGACAAAGGAGGGGGTTCAGGAGAAGAGAGGGGGTTCCCAAAGGGAGGGAAGGAGGAGGAGGAGGAGGAGGGGAAGGAATGGTGAAGAGAAGAAGAACAAGAAGAAAGAATAGTGGAAAGGGGGGAGGAGGAGGAGAAGGAGAAGAGGAAGGAATAGTGGAAAGGGAGGAGGAAAACGGGAAGGAATGGTGAAGAGGAGAAAAAGAAGGAGAAGAAGATAGAATAGTGGAAAGGTTGGAGGAGGAGGAGAAGAGGAAGGAATAGTGGAAAAGGAGGAGGAGGAGAAGAAGAGGAAGGAATAGTGGAAAGGGAGGAGGAGGAGGAAAATGGGAAGGAATGGTGAAGAGGAGAAGAAGGAGAAGAAGAAAGAATAGTGGAAAGGGGGGAGAAGAGGAAGGAATAATGGAAAAGGAGGAGGAGGAGGAGGAAAACGGGAAGGAATGGTGAAGAGGAGGAGAAGAAAGAATAGTGGAAAGGGAGGAGGAGGAGAAGGAATAATGGAAAGGGAGGAGGGGGAGCAAGAAGAAGAAGAGAAGAAGGAGGAGGAGGAGAAGAAGAAGAAGAAGAAGAGGAGGAGGAGGAAGAAAAGGAAGAAGAAGAAGAAGAAGAAGAAGAAGAAGAAGAAGAAGAAGAAGAAGAAGAAGAAGAGGAGGAGGAGGAGGAGAAGAAGAAGAAGAAGAAGAAGAAGAAGAAGAAGAAGAAGAAGAAGAAGAAGAAGAAGAAGAGAGGAGGAGGAGGAGGAGGAGGAGGAGGAGGAGAGGAAGAAGAAGAAGAAGAAGAAGAAGAAGAAGAAGAAGAAGAAGAAGAAGAAGAAGAAGAAGAAGAAGAAGAAGAAGAAGAAGAAGAAGAAGAAGAAGAAGTTCTCTCCTTTCCAACTTGTTCTTCCCCTTCCAAATTATGTCCTTGGAGACCATGCATGGACCACAAAGTAGAGGCATCGGGAGCACAAAAGGAAGTCCTTGTGCAGGCACCTGCTGATGCTTTCCCTCCCACAGGACCCCCCCACCAGGCCAGCTCTTCCTTTCCACATTCTCTGCAAGAACCGACCCCCTCCTTACTCCAGATCTCCAGAAGTTTGAGAAGAGCCTCTGTGTTTGGGTGCAACCTGCAGGTGAGGTGCCCAACAGTTTTTTAGGAGAACTTGCTAAGCTTAAGTTGCAGCAGATCCCTCAGCCAGCAGTTCACGAGGTCCTCAACAGCCACGCCAAAAAGCAGGCTCAGGTCTCACTAGATAGGAAACACCCCCACCCCGCAATTTTTAAGGTGCACTCACCCCAAAGGCAGAGAGTAGGAAGCATCAGCAGGACCAACCCCAAATCCATGGTAGGCTGAGATGATCTCCAGCTTCTGTCTCCCAACTGAAAGCAAACTCAGGGCGGGATCCTAGCCTCCAATTGCCCACTTTCTCCCCTGCATCCCCAGCCCAGAAGACCACCCCGATCCTTGTGTGGTCAGGGATGCGAAAACCATGCCTGCTTGCTCTAACAGGCTGGACAAAGTCACTGTCCACTCAGCCCTACCGGAAGAAAAAAACGGTCTGGATCACACGGACTGGAGGGAGCAGGAGAGAGTCTTTTACGCTCAGCATGGCGTGGGAACTTCCTACTTGTAGAACTCATGAATCCCACATTTCCAAAAACAAATTAATTAATTAATTGGGGGAAAAAAAATATGTGTGCTTTTCTCAACGGTCTGAGAAAAGCAGAGAAAAAGCGAGATTTTCAACATTTCAACATTTCAAGATAGCAATAGTAATAGTAGTACAGTTGGAAGGGACCTTGGAGGTCATCTAGTCCAAGCCCCTGCTCAGGCAGGAAACCCTACACCATTTCGGACAAATGGCTGTCCAGTCAGTCCAGATGATAAAGTACACGGGTGCAAAATGTTTTATAATTGGCGCATCTTTGGATAGTTTATTGGAAGCAAAATGTAAACGCAGGGGAGCAAAATTCCAGCGTTTCTAATTCCAAGCTGGAAATATTTTGTCTATCCCACTGGCTATCCTTCTTTAGGCTAGCCGCAACAATGCTGATATATATTTATATAAGCAATTCTGGCTAAATTTTTTTGGATGAGATATCTTGTGGTCACCTAGGCCAGTGGTTCTTAACCTGGGCGATATTGCCCCCCAGGGGCGATTTTGTTTTTCAAGGGGGCAATGGAACGAAAAGGGGGCGATATGGGGGGGATGGAGCGAGAAGTTTTGGGGACACTTTTGAGTTTTTTTTCGTAGGGTGAATGGCTGTATATCTGTCGTACAAAAACATCAGATCGCTCGCTCTTAGTGGATTGAATTGTGTTTTCAAATGTTCCTCCCGCTGGCTTCAGTACAGAACGCCGTACATGTGTGAATACGCATTGCTTATCTTCATGCATGTTGTGCAGCAGCCTCTACCCATACAGTAGCACGCCATTAGCCAGAATATGGGAGATATGGGGGAAAAGACTGGAAATAAATGATTGGCATCGATACGTCCTAATGACAATTTTAAAGAAAACAGAAAAAGGGTTTGCATAAATTGAAGAATTATTTCCTACGTTGTGATGGAGAGGTGATGTTGGGGGAGGGGGGGCGATGACAACTTCCTCATTGGCTCAAGGGGGTGATTTGTTCAAAAAGGTGAAGAACCACTGACCTAGGCAATGTAATCCAGCATCAAAGGGAGAACGTCTAGGTGAAATCCACTCCAGATTTTCCAGTGCTCAAAAGGAAACTAACAGGGATTGATTTGCGTGTCTGTGTGTGTGTGTGTGTGTGTGTGTGTGTGTGTGTGTGTGTGTGGTTGTGTGTGTGTGTGTGTGTGTGTGTGTGTGTATACACAGAAGCAGTGGGGGAAGACTGATGGACAAGAGAGTGAAAATAAAATCCCAAAGAGTGACAAAGCCGAGATGTCCCATCCAGACCTCAGCAAAGCTTCAGAGATATAGGTGGTCTTTCTGGTGGACCCCAAGAAGCATTTGCCCGCTCATTTTTCTCCCAGCTTGGGGACTTCTATCTCCAGGCTAAATTTAGTGCCAGCTTCTGTAAACCCACTCAAACCGATTGACGTGTCTTTACCTTGCAACCCCAGCGAGCCACATCTTGCAAAAAATGTGGACCGTTAGAACGTTTAGCCTGCTTGGAGAATCCAATCCTTCGTGGCTTCAAACGAAGGCCTGGCTGGGATGCTACAGCTGTCTTTTAGGTTCTCTGATTCTTCTTTTAGTTGATTTTAAAAAAAAAAAAACATTGAAAAAAATCTTCCCATCCCTGAAAGAGGGAACTCCATTCACCCGATTCGGGCTTAGGATTTACGCTCCTGTAGGCTGAACTACATTGGAAAAAAAAACAAAAACGCAGGAACTATATTGAAAAAAACCGCACAGTGGAATGGCACCATGGACAACGTGCAGGCAGGCGTATTGAGGTGGGGGCAGAAGGGGGGGATTGAAGGAAGCAATTTCCTTTTGATGCTTCAGACTTTTCCTTCTGGCGTTTCCAGAGACCCCGTCTGGCACCTGATGCCCTGAGCAGATTGGAAAGCAGAAAGTTGGAAGACGCAGATAAAGGGGATGAGATAACCGTGGAGGGGGTCTCAAAGCTCATCCGATGGTGAAACAGACCTTTGTTTTTATTTGTATCTATCACTCCATGCAGGTAAGCTGCCTTTATAGTGTTAGCTCTTCCAGCAGGCTCAAACATTCCTTGTTTGTTGCAGAAAAGCCATGATCCCTACTTCTGGGATAGATTCCCAGAGACGGATAGTCTTTAACGTGACAACTTTTAGCTACCTGCAACGGGCTGGTCTGTTTTCCTGGCTTTGGACTTTGAGAGTTGGTTAAAGACGAGCAAATAAGTAAAGCTGCTTTGGAGGACTCTAGAAAAATAGCTTTTTTTAATCATTGACCCACTCATTCGGGGAAAAAAAACCTGAATAAGGGTCTCCACTGATTCTTCTCTCTCATCCCTTTCTCTATCAATTTATTGGTGTATTAGGAAATTTATTTACCACCCGTCTCCAGCCAAGCATAGCCAACGACTTACAGCCAAAGCCCAAACTTTCCGTTGCTAAGCCAGAGACTTGTTGAGTGAATTTTGCTCCAGTTGATGATCTTTCTTGCCATCTTGGTTAAATGAATCAAGTTAGGAATCAAGGTTGCAAAACAGGGATCACTTGATCCCAGGATACTGCAGCCGTCGTAAATTCGAGCCAAGGGTCAGAATTTTGATCACGTGACCCTGGGGGTGCGGCAGTGGTCATAAGCGTGAAAAATGGTCACCAGCACCGTGGTAATTTCAAACAGTCACTACGTGAATTGTTATACTTAATTGCAGCCAAATCCCATTTGCATCCCAGTGATTTTGCTGCTCAAGATGACTCCAATACCCTAATCCCTAATTCACATTTTGACATCTGCTGATAGTCTTTGACTAATGTGCCCCCGCTGGGAGCAGAAGCTCAGACCTTGAGTGGCCACTGTCCTGCCTCTCCCTTCCACGGTTCAGTGCCGTCACAAAGGAGCAGGGTTTTGTGTAAACAGAGGCACAGAATCAAAATCACGCGAAGTATTACTGCCGCTTTATAAAGCCTTAGTAAGGGCACATCTGGAATAAGGCATCCAGTTTTGCTCACCACATTACAAAAAAAGATGCTGAGACTTTGGGAAAAGTGCAGAGAAGAGCAACTAAGGTGATCCAAGGCCTGGAGACTAAAACATACGAAGGATGGCTACAGGAATTGGGTATGGCCAGTCTAGAGAAAAGAAGGACTGGGGGGGACATAATAGCAGTCTTCCAGTATCTGAGGGGCTGCCACAAAGAAAAGGGGGGGGTCAATTTATTCTCCAAAGCACCAGAAGGCAGGACAAGAAACAATGGATGGAAAATAATCAAGGAGAGAAGCAATCTAGAACTAAGGAGAAACTTCCTGACAGGGAGGACAATTAACCAGTGGAACAGAAGTTGCCTCCAGACAGGGATGAGAAGGAAGAAAGGAGAGGAGAGAGAAAAGAGTAAAGGAGGGGAGAAGGAAGTAGGAAGGTTGGAGGAGAAGAGGAGAAGGAAGGAAAGAGGAGAGGAAGAAGAGGGAAGAAGGGAAGAGGAGAAAGAAGGTAGAGAAGAAGGAGTGTGGATACAGTGAAAGGGGAAATGGGCGAGCAACCCCAAAAGTCACGTGTGTGTGTGTATTTATTTCATTTTATTAAAAGTATCTTATATGTGAATGTAAAAAGAATGTATGTTAACATCTGATAAATATCACGGTATACGTATGGGGGAGAGTTTGGAAAAATAAAATAATATTTAATAATAATAATAAAAAAAGAAGTTGCCTCCAGACGTTGTGGGTGCTCCATCACTGGAGGTCTCAAATTGTATAGGGTCTCCTGCTTGAGCAGGGGTTGGACTAGAAGACCTCCAAGGTCCCTTTCAGCTTTCTTCTGATTGATTGGTTGACTCCCACTGTGGTGGTCACCATCTTGCCTTTTTTGTATTGGTGCATGGTTTGCCTATTTATTAAAACCGGGCTGTGGGGAGTGGATGGATTTCCATTAAAGATGGAAAAGAGAGAGGAAGAGAAGATGGCTGGCCTTGGGGGGGGGGACAGTTCGCTGTTTCGCAGCCGCTTCCCAAGTGCTGAAATGAATCAGTCGAGTCTTGCGCAGGTTAAGCCATCTGCTCTCCTTCTTAGAGCATTAACGGCCAGGTTGCTTTAATCCTGCGGCCCAGCCAAGGCTGACTTTTCAAATGGGGGGTGGGGAGAGTAAAGGGGGCTAGTGGCACTCTCCCCACTGGCTAGTCAGCCCCCCCCAGAGCCCCATATGGTGAATTAACCAGCTTAGTCCAATTAAAGCACCTCAGGGCAAGACATTTAGTGCTCAGACGGGCTGCCCTCGGCTGCCCGTGCAGTGTGGATGCTGTGTATGTGCAAAGCTGAGTCCTCCACGCTGAAGTGTTTCTGCACAGGTCATGCTTTGTACCACCTCCACGTCATAAGTTAGAGACACGAGGGCAGAGCTGTTCCCTGGGGCTACCGTGGTGGCGCAGTGGTTGGAATGCACTATTGCAGGCTAATTCTGCTGACTGCCAGCAGTTTGATCCTGACTGACTCAAGGTTGACTCAGCCTTCCATTCTTCCGAGGTCGGTAAAACGAGGATCCAGATTGTTGGGGACAACAGGATGACTCTGTAAACTGCTTAGAGAGGGCTGTAAAGCACTGTGAAGCGGTATATAAGTCAGTGCTATTGCTATCTATCTACCTATCTGTCTGTCTATCTATCTATCTATCTATCTATCTATCATCTATCATCTATCTATCATCTATCATCTATCTATCATCTATCTATCTATTATCCATCTGTCTGTCTATCTATTATCTATCTATCATCTATCTATCTATCAATCAATCATCTATCTATCATCTATCATCTATCTATCTATCTATCATCTATCATCTATCTATCTATCTATCTATCTATCATCCGTCCGTCCATCTATCTATCTATCTATCTATCTATCTATCTATCTATCTATCTATCTATCTGCTGTGGTGGCACAGTGGTTAGAATGCAGTATTGCAGGCTAACTCTGCCCACTGCCAGCAGTTCGATCCAGACCAGCTCAAGGTTGACTCAGCCTTCCATCCTTCTGAGGTCGGTAAAATGAGGACCCAGATTGTTGGGGGCAACAGGATGACTCTGTAAACCGCTTAGAGAGGGCTGTAAAGCACTATGAAGCAGTATATAAGTCTAAGGGCTAGTGCTAAGTGCAATTACCCAGCTTTCTTTCCTTAGTCTTCTCTGGTGAACTTTTATTTATTCATTTTATTCCTTCAAACTCTTTCATTTTGATATTATCCCGATTGGGGAATTGGATTTAGACCTACTAGTCTAGGAGATTCTCCATCATTCAGGTCAGGGTTGTCCCAAAGGTGCTTTTTCGAGAGGCAACTGGACTTTCTGGTTTTTCTTTGAAGATGTTTCGCTTCTCCTCCCAGAAGCTTCTTCAGCTCTGACTGGATGGTGGAGAATTGAAGGATTTATACTCCTTGCACACAGCTAGTTATTTGCCTCCTTTTAGAGAGTCATTCAGGCCACTTGGAGGTTTATCAGTGTCCACAGGGTCACCTGAGTGGTGCAAATGGGTGTGGAGCCTTCTTGGAGCTGCTGAAAGGACTGTATTGTAGACTGGAGATGGATGGTGTTGTGTCTCTCCCCCTCTGTTGAGAGAGGGCTGTTGAAAAAGCACCTCTGGGATTTAGACCTACTGTAAACCAATAGATGTGTATGGAGATTCTCAGTCATCCAGATCATCGTAAGTCCAGTTACCTCGTGAAAAAGCAGCCTTGTCCACCAATAGCTTTATTTTATAAACAGATGGACTGCCATTTGTCCGAAATGGTGTAGGGTCTCCTGTTTGGGCAGGGGGTGGGACTAGATGACCTCCAAGGTCCCTTCCAACTTTATTATTATTATTATTATTATTATTATTATTATTATTATTATTATTATTATTATTATCATTATTATTATTATTATTATTATTGATCATCGCACAGTCAGCCAGATGTTCAGACTGGATTTGGCATTTTGTCTACCTATCGAGTCCTTACCCAGGACCTGGGATAGGCAGATGTGGATGTTTGATGGTATTACAGATATCGTCGCAGGATGGAAGCAGTTCCTAATAAGGCCGCCTTTTGCAATTGACTAATAGCGAATTTGTCAATGCCAATGGTGTTCAAGTGGTGCTCCAGTTGTTTTGGGATTGCACCCAAGGAGCCTATGACTATTGGTACTACCCTTGCTTGCTTTTGCCACAGTCTTTCTATTTCTATTTGTAGGTCTTTGTATTTTGTTATCTTCTCCAGTTCTTTCTCTTCTATTCTGCTATCTCCAGGCACTGCCACGTCCATTATTATTATTATTATTATTATTATTATTATTATTATTATTATTAATCATCGCACAGTCAGCCAGATGTTAAGACTGGAATTGGCATTTTGTCTACCTATCGAGTCATGTCATGTCATGTCATGCCGCTGCTTGTAGTCAGTCTGTGCAATCTTCTTGCAACAGCTTACCAGGTGGTCCACTGTTTCTTCAGCTTCTTTGCATAGGCGGCACTTACTGTCTGTTGCTGTCTTCTCAATTTTGACTTTATATGCATTTGTCCTTAAGGCTTGGTCTTGTGCAGCCAGAATTAGTCCCTCGGTCTCTTTCTTCAATTTTCCTGCTCTTAGCCATTGCCAGGTCTTGTTATTATCTGCTTTCCCAGCTATTTTTTTTAAGGTATTGGCCACGTAGTGCTTTGTCTTCCCATGCCTCTATTCTGTTCTTCATTTGGTCTTTCTTGTAGGCCTGTTTGGTCTCTCCAGTAGTCAGTAAGCCTTCCTGATATACTAATTTCAGTGCATCTTCATCATTGTTGTTGTTGTTGTTGTTGTTATTATTATTATTATTGCTTGAGGTTCCACACCTTATTTTAGTGTTCAGCCAGCAGAGGGCAGCAGACCGTCATGCATCAGCCACGATCCCCCTTATCAGGTGCTCCAGCAAATTCTAGATAGGATGCAGCAACCTGGGAACTTCTGGAGTTCTGTCTATTAAATTCCCAAGGCACTTAACGAGCGGCACCTGTTCTTACCTGCCTCAGCTGC